AATTCCCCTGTGGTCAGCAGATGCTTATTTCCCGAGTGTCATCACTTCTGAAGTGTGGTAGGAGGTGTGCTGATACAGTGGGCACACTGGAAACCTGCCCTTCATTTCCTAGACACTAAGCTGGTGTGAGCCTTGGTCCATGAGGTGAGGAAGGGAGGCTCAGGAATGTTTTGGTGAACTTCAGGGCTTCCCTGGTCAAGGTGGAGTGGGAAACTCAGGTATAAGAAAATCTCCCCTTGGAGGACATAAAGAGGTAATGTATTAGGTCAGTCACATAATTTTGCAGAGATTTATGTTCCAAGGATGTCTTTGAATGATTTTGATATTTATCAGAATATCTGCTCTCACTCTTGGGAACTATCATTTGCCAAGTATCAGGGATAATGAAACCATGGTTCATGTTCCCTGAGAGAGGAGGAATGTCTCTCTGAGGGGAGACACATGCAGCTATTACTCAAGACTTGACAGAAAGAGGGAAATGGTGGGAGCAGGTTATGAGTATGTCACCCAACCTGTCTGTGTGCGTGTGGGGGGGGCAAAGGTGGAGGTTAAAGGTGAAGCTGCAGGGAAAGGTGCCAGCAGTGATGGTCAGGGGTAGGCGTGGAGACAGGTGGCTTTGGATGGCCATTAACATGGCTTCTCTCTGGGCTTATTACATCCCAGTAAACTGTTGGTTCAGCAAGGTTTTCAAAGCCACATATCTTTGTCTCTAAAAGTGTAACTTTGGGGATAGTTTTACTTGAATATGGAAGACTCCTTGATCAAAGAACTTCTATTCCTTTCTCTGGGTGGGGTTCTGAACTTCCTCCATCCAAAGTGGGAGCCGTCCTTTGTTACAGGCTGTTTTGTGGAGTGTCCACTACATCCCCCAGGATGGGAGTCTATGCTCTCATCCTGGTGAGAGTGGAAAGTTCTACTTTCCTCTTTGGAGGGACCTTGAGACATATCTGCAAGCCTGTGGGGTAGTGTTTTTATGACCTCTCAGGTCTCTTCTGATTAAACACAAAGCCCAAGGAGAGGGTAGGAACTGGTCCATCCCAGGGGAGGTGGTGGGATGGGGTGAGGAGCCACTGTTTCCTCCACTGTCCTCTGCTGACTCACACCTCAACCCCTCTCCCCCAGGATATTGACTTGGTGGCCTGGTAACAGGGTGAAGCAGAGCCCACTTCCTGGTTTCATATTTGATGGCATCCCTCTACCAGACAAATGACAAATGAGTATAAGATCGACAGCCCCAAGCCACATCCTAGTGAGTCAGACTTGGAGGCTCACACTCTCAAAGATGAGCTCTTTAAACAAATTATCACTTTCTTGTGAATAGAGTAGAGGCTGCTAGATAAATACCGACACCAGACTCTTCCATCTAGCTTCTCGGGCAGCCCAGCACTCACAGGATGAAGAGCCAGGAAGGATCTACTTGTGACTCTTCTCTCACCAGCTTACAGTCGTTTACACTTTTCATGAGCTTGCTGCCCCTTGCCAGGACAGTAATGCCTAATCAGAGCCCAAGTCATGATTTTGCTAACCTCAACTATACAGAAAAAGCTGGGATTGGTTGAGGAACACTTCTGGGTATTCTGAAATAACAGGTGACATTTCTTAACTCCTTACAATATTCCATGCCAGGTGCTGGGCATTCACATATTTGAAGCTCATTTAATCTTCATGACAATCTTCTGAGACAGTGGATCTTTACTGTTTCTATTTGCAGATGAAGAAAGTAAATATCGGCAAGGTAAATGCAGTTTTCCCCAGGTCACACAGCTAAATATGTTCAGAAGGAGAGATGAAACTTTTACTGGGTAGTGATACTATAAGTCAATAGAGTGATTTTTTTTCTTTAACATTAGGGTCCACTCTTGGGGTTGTGCGAATTCTGGGAGTTTGGGTATATGACATATACCCATCATTATAGTTTCATACAGAATGAAATCTGCCCTAAAAATCTCTATGCTCTATCCATTTGTGCCTCCCTAGCTCCTAACCCTGGGAAACCAGGGATCTTTTAGTTTCCATAGTTTTGTGTTTTCCAGAATGGCACATCCTTGGAATCATACAGTATACAGCCTTCTCAGATTGGCTTCTTTCACACAGTGATACAGATTTAAGATTCCTCCATGTCTTTCATGGCCTGAAAGCTCATTTCTTTCTAGTGCTGAAAATAACATTTCTTTCTCTGACTGTTCCAGTTTATCCATTCACTTATTTTTTAAAAAAATTTTTAAAGCTGTAGATGGACACAATGGTTTTATTTTGTTTATTTATTTTTATGTGGTGCTGAGGATCCAACCCAGTGCCTCATGGATACTAGGCAAGCACTCTACCACTGAGCTACAACGTCAGCCCTATCCATTCACTTCCTGAAGGATATCTGGCTATATCCAAGTTTTGACAGTTATGAACAAAGCTTCTATAAACATCTGTATGAATAAGGTGATTTTAAATACTTGGTATGGGAGTACAGATACCAAAAAACAAGGATTTGATGTAGGTCTGCAGGTGTTAGATTTTGATGAGCAGAGATAGGTGAAAGGATTGTTTTGGAAGAGGGAACAACATAGCAAGTATTTTTTCAATGTTTATCATGAGCCAGGAAATCTGCTGGATATAAGTTATTCTATTTAAACCTAACAGTGATCTCCTAGAACATTCCCGTAATGGCATGATGACTTCTTTTCCCATACGTGAAAGCCAATGCTAAGAAATGGTGTATATCTTTTCCAAATTTCAAAGCTAGAGAAGTCATAATTGAAGTGAATTTGACTCTACTGCATACACTCTTTGTCCTACTCCACTGGGCTCTCTATCCAAGGGCAAGGAGATCAGAGTGACTCAGTGGCTTGATCATAAGACACAGAAAGCTCATAAGACAAGGAGACTGGAGCCAGGCTGCAGAGGGCGCCGACTCGGGCAGTGTGTGGTGACTATGGGTAGTGGGACCACCAGTGTGTGCAGGTCACAGAGGGAGATGGAGGATGTGCAGGGAGGAAGGGGAGGGGGCTCCTTTTTCTACCTTACAACTTGTCTGAACTGTTGGTTTTGATGCTTGCTAGAGACTTCTGAGAATATGCAAATGGCTACCCCTTGGTGACCTCAGGAGAGGGAACAGGATGTCTGAGTCTGGAGTTCCAGTAGATCAACCCAAGGGGGGCAGTCACATGCGCTTCCCTCTTGGCCTCTTCAGCTTCTCAGTCCCCGAGGATGCCCTCTTGGTCACTAGCACCGAGTAACATCAGGGCACTTCAAACAGTTGGGAAATTTCTTTGGTTTTCGAGAACCTTTAGGAGACTTTTGCAATGTCCATTTAAAAAAAAATCACAAGGGCTTTGAGATCAGACAGCTTGGAGTAAATTTGTGAATGAGGAAGTTTTATGTTTTTTAAAATTCAAATTGACATAGAATTGCAACTTTTAAAATCATGGGAACTGAGTGGTGCCCACAATCTTCTAGTGATCTTTAAAGATGACAAACTGACACCTATAAGCCTTATAAAACTAGCCTAGAATGACCCAGAACCTGCTCTGAACCCAGGTGCTGCACGCTGAGCCTCATGTTCCTTGTGTCACAGGCCACTTCTGACCCTAACACATGGCCATGCAGCTGGCACACACTAGGCAGAGAGCAGCGGGGACGTTTATTTACCCAGGGAGCACTGTGTGGGCACAAGGGAGTCACAACAGCACACAGAGGGGAGGGAGCCAAAGACTCCCACTTCCACCAGGTCAGCCGCTCTCTCCACAGCTCAGTATTGAACGAAAACTGGTGCCGAGGCCCAGCCCCTCCTCCCTGTGTGCCTGTTGGTCTCAGCTGGGGGAGGCTTGTGATGGTACTTACAGGGAAGTTCCTCATCTGTTCGGGGAGTCCCCACTGGAGTCCTCTTAGTCTGCCAGGAGAGTGGGGAGCAGGGATTCCACTGCCCAGGGCATGAGAGCAAATGTCTCTCACACCTTCCATCAGGACACCCTGCCAGAAACAACCTTGTGGGAAGAGCTGCTGTCTTGGCAGGACAACAGGCCTTCTTTTTCCTCTTCTAGTAGGAAATACAACCATACGCTACGAAATTTAGGAAGGAAAATAAAGTAGACCAGGAAGAGCAAGGGTCCCTACTACCCCTGGCCTCAGGCCTCCAGCTCCCTTCTCCAGAGGGAACATTGGCCACCAGTTTCTCCTACATTTTTCCAGATTCCTTCAATGCCCATAGAAGTGATATTCCTTTTCCGTCGCACATGGCACTATACTTCCTGTATGATTCTGTCCTTTGACAATTTCACTTAAYAGACTTTTGATTTGCTCCCTATTGAGCTTTTGCTTTTTAACCACCAAATGACTGTGGATGTTCACTCCATCTACCAAGCTTCCTCTTCTCATGGTTCCRCTTGTTTTCTTGCTACTGAGGGTGGTTATGGTTCACATTAGGTTTTTCACTCTGTTGAAGAAAAGGAAAAGATGCAATGTTTAAAAAAATAAAAGCTATATTTAATTCTATTGAACTCTAAAGGATTAAAATAGATTTTATTGCCTGTGTCCCCTGCAAACATGATGTGCTGATTCCTGTGTTATAGTGGAAGAAAAGCACACAAGAAGTTTCCAGAACTTGCTCCCAGCAGGTTCTGGGAATCTGTGGTCATGGTGGACTGATTGGTCACAGACTTCTCCATGAGGGCTCTCTATGAATGGGTTTCTTAACAAGAGAACTAGTAAGTGTACTGTCATCTAAAAGGGGAAGTTGGGGCCCCAGTGAGCCAAAACAGTGCACCAAAGAGGAGCTTGGCAGAAAGGAGAACAGACCTCAAATGCTGGCATGAAAGCGCAGAGTAATCCTGACTTGTCTTAAGAAATGCTATAGAAAAGCAAGAGACAGGCAGAAAATCCAACTCTAACCCTCACAGAAAAAACCGAGTCTTTGTTAAGCCTTTCCCTCCACAGGCTCCTGGGTTTCTATTTCKTTGGCTCTGATGCCTTTTTCATCCCCCTAAAATATATCCTTTTTCATCCCTTAGGTGCAGTATCCTTCAATTCAAAGTATTAGAATACAATTTAATGGTAAGTATTGTCAAAAGTTTAACTGATCCATATTTTTGAAAGGATCTTCTCTTTAGCCTCTTAATTTCCTCACAAGATCTATCCTTTTCCTTGGGGAAGTGATGGGACCTGAATATGATTTTCATTAGGGACACAGAGGTGCATAAGAAGCAGGGAGGAGTGGTTGGCCACCACATCCGTACTTGTCTCTGTRCTTCACCGGCCTCACTTTATCCTCCAGGGACCCTTGAGGGTGAATAATTCTCATGCTTCAGCTAAGGACACAAAGGCTTTACCTTTTACAAGTCTGTCTGACCTTAGGACACATCACTTGCTGGCTCTATTCTGGGACAAGATTTTACCTTAATGAGAGTTGGGGAAGGCCCTGATATGAAGAAAAGGTGATATTTTGACTATCAGGAGAGCACCATGATTACAGTCAACCCCCACTGGTTTCTATATTAATTCATTGGCTTGTCAAGCTCTCTGAGGCTGAAGGGAAGTACCTTTTGCTCTCTATAAGTGGTGTTTATTTCAATTCAAAGTATGCCCCTTGGGACTGATATAAGGCAAGAATTACCAAATTGTGGCCAGCAGTGGAGACATGTTTTTTCCCATCACTAAAGAACATCCTCCAGAATAGGTGTCCACGATGTAGTTGCCTGGCCATYCATCATGCTGTTGGGCTGACGGGGAATAAAACAAATTTAGGCTTTTTAGTTTCCACTTAGAATTGCCCCATACACAAACTACCAAAGCTTCTCCTGCTYCTATTCCTTCTCCTTCTCCTCCTTTTCTTTCTTGTATGGCAACAACTCTTCCCAGGTCACCTTCCAGGAAGAATTAGCAATAGGAGGGGGMAGGGAGAAGCAAGTCGGAGTCCTGGAGCTCTTCAACCTGCACTGGCTTCCTGTGCTTAGCTGCAGAMTAGCCTCACTGGCTGCTGGCAAAGCCAGGGGTAAATGCTGTCAGTAAGTCTGATGCCCACAGGCAGTGGGGAGAGGCTAGGGAACTATTAAAGCAATTGCTTTGAGTGAAGCTAGGAAGAGGTGTGCAGGACCAAGGCAAGGGGCACCACTGCCACTCTGTGCTATAGTCTGTCCCCTGAGCAAGCAAGGAAGGACTGAAGCTGCCAACTCCATGCAGTTTTGAAAAATCTGGGAAACCTCAAAGCCACCTTTTCTGCAGTAGGTCAGCCACGACAATTTCTATAATCCTCAACTCAGGAATCCCAGYCCCATCTGAGACTCTCTCTGCAACTGGGATTAGCTCTGCCTCTACTTGCATTCCACAGGGGAAGGGGATTCCAACCCATGGGTAGAAACACAGTGCTTGCTTCCACTCTTTAAAAATATCTGTCCTCCTTCACTTTCTCTTCACTTGATTTTAGTTGTATTGGAAGGTTGTTGCCTAATGTAGTGCTTCAGTAACTCTATTTTTTATTCTAGCCCTGCCCTTTTCAGGGTGTGAGAAGAAATTTTTCCGCGTTATACCRGAAAAGGCTGAGACCATGAAGGTGGAAAACAGCTCAATCATCATCAACTGTGACGGGTTTTATCTCATCTCCCTGAAGGGCTACTTCTCCCAGGAGGTCAACGTCAGCCTTTACTTTCGGAAGGGTCACAATCCAATCTCCATCCAGAGCACCAACAAGAAGGTCAACTTCATCACGGTGGTCTCTTTGGCTTTCAAAGACAAAGTGTACCTGGACCTGAGTGCTCACAATACCTCCTGCCTCCCAGTGAATGGTGGGGAATTGATTCTCATCCACCAAAATCCGGGTGGGTTCTGTGCCCACTGAGGATCTGATGGCCATACCCCAAACCAGGCACCAGCASGAACACCAAGCTGGGGGTGGCAGGACACTGATTCTTCCTTGTGAGTGGAGTTCTTCATGCTCGGCCACACGGGATGTGAGCAGAAGCAGATCCTGCCCTACCCCCTCACTCAGGGATATTTAAAATGTACTGTGTGTACCCCATTCACCTTATTTATCCCTCATCTTCAAATCACCCAACTCATCCCCCACAATTGCCTTCAGCCCACTAGGAACTTTTGTGAAAATGAAAAACCAAATGCTTCTTACAGACAGATCAGTCAGGCAACTGTTTAAATAAACTTTAGTCACTGAAAAAAGCACTTGGCTACAATTTGCTGGAAATTTGAGATGTGTATGGCATTGTCAAAATGAAGAGGAGCCAAGAGAGGGTTATGATCTGCAAAAAGTGGTGTTCACCAATCCCTGGGAATCAAAATGAACTCTCCAGCGCTCAACTGACGGCCTTTGCATACTACTTACATCCCTCTTCCTTGGAGGAGTTCAAGAGGGACTTGAAGACAACTGTCTAAGAATCACCATGTGCTTTTTCCATTACCTCTTAGCCTTTCCAGCTTCCAAACATATGTAATAGAAATCTCCCTTCCCAAGATCCATCTTGGGAATATTATGCTGTGAAAAATCTAATCAATGGTTAAGAGAAACCAAGAGAGATTTTGCCCTGGAGGGAGTGTGTAATAATGTGAGAGTTATCTTTATCTCATAGGAGAGCAATAAACTGGACCTCAGGGTAAAAGTCAGTAAGGATGGGGACTGTCTGGGGAAGAAACCCCTCTCTTTGCCATAGACAAGCAAAGCAGCGCACCCTTACCTTCCTGCCATGCTGAGATCCCTCCTCAGCACCACGCTGTATACACAGAGGCCACATTGTTAGGTCTCCCCCACACCCCCCAAAATGAAGTAATACTACAATCAAATGCAGTTTTATGTCAAACAGCACTAAGAAGCAATTATACCTTATGAAAAACAACCATCTCTGTCCAGAAGTACTAAGTGCTACATATGATCTCACAATGAAACCAGAAGGACCTATAATCGGTCATTACCAAATCTTCATATCCCCGTTGAACTTGAAATAATGAACCATGAATATGGCATTGTGATTTTTATGTCAAATTTCTAGATTATTCACAAGTTCTCTGTGCCAAAATTTTTATTAATGTAATTTTCGGCAATTTTTAAAAATGTAGTGAAGGTTTCCCTGCTGTTTTAAATAGGGGATACAGTGTTCCCTAAAGTCTTTCTGGATGATTCTGTGTCATTGCAGGAACTGTACTGTGTGAAGTACGTGGTTACCTCTAGGACCTCTAGGAAGGCAAAAGGCTGTCATCCTGACACTAAGTGGTCTCAGTTCCATTTGGGCTTTTTCCTGTCTGATGCTTTTCTATTTCTTCATAAGTGCCTATCTCCAACTATATTCCCATCCCTCTACTTCAAGCTATTAAGAAAGAAGCTAAATAAAAATTCTATACCACTTGTGTGTAAGGTAAGAATAATCAAGTTCTGAGTGGTCACCAAGGTATCATGGAGTCACGGTCATGGCTAAACACTTAGGGAGGGTCCACTCTAGCCCAGGAACTGGGTTAATTGCTACATGAATTATTCTGAGCAAGATATTCTGTGCAGGTATTTGCCTACTCAGAAGACTTATGTGTGTGTGTTTTGTGTATATTTTACTTTTTGTCATTGACTATATTATGCAAAATTAAGTGATATTTTAAAAAGCAATGTTTATGACTACAGGTAGTATTTAAAAAAATATATGTCCACTTTTTAAAGTTTGGAATTTTTGTCTGTGTTTCTCAGAAATGTGCGGTGCCTAGGCCAGGCCGAGCACTGTTGTCCTGTGGCTGGTTGTCCTGGACACCAGGGCCTCTCCCTGTGGGGACCCCTGCTTGGCTCTTTCCATGCTGGCCTCCTTCAGCCACACAGGGATACTGCTGCTGGGCACCAGCTTCACCCCCAACTGCCACCCATCGAAATCTGTTCTGTGTGCCAGGCCCTCCGAGTCATATCCTTCAAAGAGATAATTAACCCTGAACTCACGATGTGGAAGAGATCTGTGGAAGGAGAATTAAGTGACAAGTCAGGAGGCAGGACTTCTAAATTTGACTTAGTTACTAACTAGCTAAGTGACCTTGGACAAATAGTTCCTCATTTCTGCATCCTGCTTTCCTCTTGTTAAGTGACAGGAAAGGTAATGTCTAACAGTTTAGAATGTTATGCTCATTTGGCTGAGAATGCAGATATTAAATGTGCTCGTTATATAGTTGCTGTATTCAAGAGGCTTAACTTTCTCTTTTACTGTATGGAGTATATTCCTGCTCCCACTCTGCCCCGCCCTGGCCAAACCAAACATCTTCCATTTGCCTTCTTGGTAATCCCAGTTGTTGTCTAGCTAGTGACTTTCTATCTAATCCTAGGGAAGGCAATACTTTCTTCTTGAGCACACTGGGCAGGTCCCCTATTCAGTCATAACTTTGTATTTGTGCATTCTTGGTTCTCAAAGAATATAAATATTGATATTAATAATATAGATAATAAAAGTATTGATATTTACATACAAACAAATAAAGGATCTCAGAATCCAGTACTGGTTAGAGTGTTGGAGTTATTATTTTTCCTTCTCTTCTCCAAGTTCTGGTTAACTAGTCTCCTGGTGCGGGGAGGATAGGTTTCCTATCTGCCTCCAATTTTACCCGTCAGAAGTATGTCCAGGGGATGGCTGAGCTGGTGGAGTCCGTTTTTGCTTTTGAAAAGATGATCTCTGGAAGTCCCCAGAGTCACAGTCCAAGAGAGTGACGAGGAAGAGTTCCCCCATGCACAGCCCCCTTCCCTYGGGACCCCTCACCTCATTTCTAACCTTGGGGTCGTCGCTTTGAGCATCATGTCCCCTCTTCCTAGTAGTAGGTATATCTGCTGTCTCAGGAAGAGGTCACCCTGCAGTGGGCCGTGGGGCACAGTCTGGCCATGCTGACCCCTGTGCTGCCTTGGATGGTGTTGGTGACCCCCTAAAGCTCCCCTCTGCCTCGGCTTGGTTGACCTCACTTCCTCCCCCTTCCTCTCTGTCCTCTGCCTGTCCTGGTCTTCATTGCCCTTCCTTTTTCTCTGTTCACCCCTTTGGTGCTGGAGTTCCTCAGAACTCTCAGTCCTCCTTCTCTACAGCAGTGATCATAGTCTGGCAACAAATAAGCCACAGTTTGACCCTGTATGCCTTTTATTTGTTAAGCTGAATTTAGTTGCCAACATTTAAACATTGAGAAATTTTTGGCTTCTTTGGAGAGCAAAACCCAAAACAAAACAGGCCCCAATTTTGGCACGAGAGTAACCATCTAAAGCTTCCATCTTCAGGGATATTCAGCGTTTCCAGTTTCCAGGGTCCCCACCATTCACAAGATGTATAAATGTGCTCATATCTACTCACTCCACTTGTTGCCTGGCTTGAGGCATSTGAGTTGTCACCTCTGCTCTGAACACTTACCAATGTCATCAAGTATTATGCCTAAACCATAGTGCGTGCACTGAAGAAATCTAAAACCACTTTTCTGCCAAGTATCTTCCATTCTTGTGTCATGTTTATTGTCACCACTTGTATTAATCATAACATACCACTTACTGAATATTCACTCTATGGAAGGATCAGATTAGCCATTTATAAGCATTATTTAATTCTATCCCCCCAACAACTCTTTGGGGTAGAAATTATTATGATTCCTAATTTGCATATGAGAACTTGACTCTGAGAGGTAAACTTGCCCAAAGGCCTGCAGCTACTAAGTGGTGGGACTCAGATTCAAGACCAGACAGTTGACACCAGAGACCATGATCTTAACCACTGCTACTGTCTCTGGGCAGTTCACATGAATGCAGTCGGTACTTATACTCACATGTCAACAATGAGCATGCCGTCTTCCTCGCCCAGCCCCTCCTCCTGAACCATGATTTTGGTTAAAGGCATTGCAATCACTCCTGAATCCAGAAGCCCAGGATCTGCCTACTTTCCTCCATCCAGTCTTTACCCACTAACTACTCACACACGTCCTATTTATCATTGCAGGCCCATCAGGAACTCTCAGGTTGCCCCCAACTCCCAGGCTCCCCAAACCACAACTTGAAGGAAAAAAGAAAAAAAAAAATATATATATATATGAATGTCTTTGCTAGTCACACACACATCCTTATGAAACGGTTTGACAATTTCTTTGGAAAATATATGCAGGAGGGGTATTTGTAAGTAACCGTTTTTGCCAATATCCAAAAGCCTACAAGCCTGTGGCTATGGCTTCCCCTCATACTTCATACTTTTATAAGGAACWCCCATGGGGCCTCCTTGCCTCGGTTAGTTCTGTCTGATGAAGAAGGGGATACACATTAGCTCAATGGATGAATGAAATGAACAAACAGAATGAGGCAAGGAGGGGGTTCAAGATGGTGAATTAGGGGAAGGCTACATCCAGTGGCTCTGCGGCTCAGGATTCAGGATGAATACTTCTCAGCAAGGTGGGTGAGTTCACTAAAATTCAGTATTGGGCAGAGTGTCTTAGAGACTCAGGACTTTGGGTGCATTAAACAAACAACAAGAAAGAATATCTTAGAGCTCAGCTGGTTCACTACAGAGGGGAGGGATAAAAAGAGAGAGAAACAAAATGGGGAGATTTGGCATGGAAAAACCCTGTAGATTAGAAAAGCAGTTGAACTCAGATGATCCAGAGGCTGCACAGCAAACTAGGACTCTGTGCCTCTCAACTGGCAAGCTGAGGGCTGAGGAGGGAGCCATCATGAGGTGGCCATGCTGCAGTTGCTGCTGCAGGAGCTGGGAGGTCATAGTGCGAGTTGCCATACTGTCCTGGCAAGTGCCTAACCTGTGACCTCGGGTGTGCCTAGCTGAATGTGATTGTAACATGCACAAAGAAGATTGTACTCAAGGGGATTCAAGAAAAATGTAGGGGCATTCAGATTGCTTTCCCTTTGAGTCTGGCAGCTCCTGTGACCAGCTGAAGGAGGTCAAGAATCTGAACAGGTAGGTGTGAAAACACTCAGGGACTTAGTTTGGGAAGGCTGTGTTCCGAGGCAGCGGATGTGTGGCAGATCGGCTTCCCTGTCCCACAAGTCAAA